TGGTATGTTCTTCCATTTGTTTGTGTCCTCTTTATTTCACTGAGCAGTGGCTTGTAGTTCTCTTGAAAGAGGTCTTTTACATCCCTAGTAAGTTGGATTCCTAGGTATTTTATTCTCTTTGGCTAAATTGTGAATGGAAGTTTATTCCTGATTTGGCTCTCTGTTTGTCTGTTACTGGTGTATAAGAATGCTTGCATTTGCACATTCATTTTGTATCCTTATATTTTGCTAAAGTTTCTTATCAGCTTAAGGAGATTTTGGGCTGAGACAATGGGGTTTTCTAAATAGACAATCATGTCATCTGCAAACAGGGACAATTTGACTTCTTTCTTTTTCCCAACTGAATCCTCTTGATTTCTTTCTTGCCTGATTGCCCTAGCCAGAACTTCCAAATACTCATGTTGAATAGGAGTGGTGGAGAGAGGCATCCTGTCTGTGCCAGTTTTCAAAGGGAATTTTTCCAGTTTTGGCCATTCAGTATGATATTGGCTGTGGGTTTGTCATAAATAGCTCTTATTATTTTGAGGTATGTTCCATCAATACCGAATTTATTGAGCGTTTTTAGCATGAAGGGCTGTTGAATTTGTCAAAGGCCTTTTCTGCATCTATTGAGATAACTGCGTGGCTTTGTTCTGGTTCTGTATATGCTGGATTACGTTTATTGACTTGTATGTTGAACCAGCCTTGCATCCCAGGGATGAAGCCCACTGATCATGGTGATGCTTTTGATGTGCTGCTGATCCACGACAGTATTTCTATTGAGGATTTTTGCACGATGTTCATCAGGATATTGTCTAAAAATTCTCTTTTTGCTGTGTCTCTGCCAGGCTTTGTATCAGGATGATGCTGGCTTCTTCATAAATGAGTTAGAGGATTCTCTTTTTCTGTTGATTGAATAGTTTCAGAAGGAATGGTACTCAACTCCTCCTTCTTGTACTCTGATAGAATTCAGCTGTGAATCCATCTGGTCCTGGACTTTTTTGGTTGGTAGGCTATTAATTATTGCCTCAATTTCAGAGCCTGCTATTGGTCTATCCAGGAATTCAGCTTCTTCCTGGTTTAGTCTTGGGAGAGTGTAAGTGTCCAGGAAATTATCCATTTCTTATAGATTTTCTAGTTTATTTGCGTAGAGGTGTTTATAGTATTCTCTGATGGTAGTTTGTATTTCTGTGGGGTCGGGTGGTGATAACTCTCTTTATCATTTTTTATTGTGTCTATTTGATTCTTCTCTCTTTTCTTCTTGCCAGTCTTGCTAGTGGTCTATCAATTTTGTTGATCTTTTCAAAAACCAACTCCTGGATTCATTGATTTTTTGGAGGGTTTTTTGTGTCTCTATCTCTTCAGTTCTGCTCTGATCTTAGTTATTTCTTGCCTTCTGCTGGCTTTTGAATGTGTTTGCTCTTGCTTCTCTAGTTCTTTTAATTGTAATGTTAGAGTGTCAATTTTAGATCTTTCAGCTTTCTTGTGTGCATTTAGTGCTAAGTAAATTCCTCTACACACTGCTTTAAATGTGTCCGAGAGATTCTGGTATGTTGTATCTTTGTTCTCATTGGTTTCAAAGAACATTTTTATTTCTGCCTTCATTCTCAAGATGTACCCAGTAGTCATTCAGGAGCAGGTTGTTCAGTTTCCATGTAGTTGAGCGGTTTTGATTGAGTCTTAGTCCTGAGTTCTAGTTTGATTGCACTGTGGTCTGAGAGACAGTTTTGTTGTTATACTTCTGTTCTTGTACATTTGCTGAGGAGTGCTTTACTTCCAATTATGTGGTCAATTTGGAGTAAGTGGTGATGGTGCTGAGTAGAATGTATATTCTGCTGATTTGGGTGGAGAGTTCTGTAGATGTTCATTAGGTCTGCTTGCTGCAGAGATGAGCGCCCACCCTGGATATCTTCTTTTTGTTAACTTTCTGTCTCGCTTGATCTCTCTAATGTTGACAGTGGGTGTTGAAGTCTCTAATATTATTGTATGGGAGTCTAAGTCTCTTTGTAAGTCTTTAAGGACTTGCTTTATGAATCTGGGTGCTCCTGTATTGGGTGCAAATATATTTAGGATAGTTAGCTCTTCCTGTTGAATTGATCCCTTTGACATTATGTAATGGCCTTCGTCTCTTTTGATTCTTGATAGTTTAAAGTCTGTTTTATCAGAGACTAGTATTGCAATCCCTGCTTTTTTTTGTTCTCCATTTGCTTGGTAGACCTTCCTCCATCCCTTTATTTTGAGACTATGTATGTCTCTGCATGTGAGATGGGTCTCTGAATACAGCAAACTGATGGGTCTTGACTCTTTATCCAGTTTGCTGTCTGTGTCTTTTAATTGGAGCATTTAGTCCATTTACATTTAAGGTTAATATTGTTATGTGAACTTGATCCTGCTAATATGATATTAACTGGCTATTTTGCTCGTTAGTTGATGCAGTTTCTTCCTAGCCTCGATGGTCTTTACATTTTGGCCTGTTTTTGCAATGCTGTACCTGTTTTTCCTTTCCATGTTTAGTGCTTTCCTTCCAGGGTCTCTTGTAAGGCAGGCCTAGTGGTGACAAAATCTCTAAGATTTGCTTATCTGTAAAGGATTTTATTTCTCCTTCACTTATGAAACTTAGTTTGGCTGGATATGGAATTCTGTGTTTAAAATTCTTTTCTTTAAGAATGCTGAATATTGGCCCCCACTCTCTTCTGGCTTGTAGAGTTTTTATGAGAGATTCAAGGCTAGTCTGATGGGCTTCTGTGGGTAACCCACTTTCTCTCTGGCTGCCCGTAAGATTTTTCCTTCGCCTCAACTTTCTTTGGTGAATCTGGCAACGTGTGTCTTGGAGTTGCAGTTTTCCTCGAGTATATCTTTGTATGCCTTCTGTATTTCCTGAATTTGAATGTTGGCCTGCCCTACTAGGTTGGGGAAGTTCTCCTGGATGATATCCTGAAGAGTGCTTTCCAACTTGGTTCCATTTTCCTCACTTTTCAGGCACCCCAATCAGACGTAGATTTGGTCTTTTTACATAATTTCATACTTCTTGGAGGCTTTGTTCATTTCTTTCTTTTTCTTAGGTTTCTCTTCGCTTCATTTCTTCATTTGATTTCTCAATCGCCTACTCTTTCCAGTTGATCGAGTCGGTTAATAAAGCTTGTGCATTTGTCACGTATTTCGTGGTCATGATTTCTCATCTCTGTCCATTTTGTTTATGGCCTTCAGTATTAATTATTCTAGTTATCAATTTTCCACTTTTTTCAAGATTTTTAGTTTCTCTGCGCTGGGTACGAATTCCTCCTTTATTTCTGAGAAGTTTGATGGACTGAGCCGCCTTCTCATCTCGCCAAAGTCATTCTCCATCCAGCTTTGATCCGCTTGCTGGCGATGAGCTGCGTTCCTTTTGGCAGGGGCGATGCGCCTTATTTTTGAATTTCCAGCTTTTCTGTTCTGCTTTTCCATCTGTGGTTTTACCTGCCTCTGGTCTTTGATGATGGTGACGCACTGATGTTTTGTGGGTGTCCTTCCTGTTTGCTAGTTTTCCTTCTAACAGTCAGGACCCTCAGCTGTAGGTCTGTTGGAGATTGCTTGAGGTCCACTCCAGACCCTGTTTGCCTGGCTGTCAGCAGCAGAGGCTGCAGAAGACATTGTTGAACAGCGAGTGTACCTGTCTGATTCTTGCTTTGAAGCTTCCTCTCAGGGGTGTACTCCACCGTGAGGTGGGTGTCGGTCTGCTCCCTAGTGGGGAGGTTCTGAAGTTAGGCTTACCCAGGGTCAGGGACCCACTTGAGCAGGTAGTCTGTCCGTTCTCAGATCTCAGCCTCCGTGTTGGGAGATCCACTGCTCACTTCAAAGCTGTCAGACAGAGTCATTTGTGTCTGCAGAGATTTCAGCTGCTTTTTGTTGTTGTTGTTGTTGTTGAGCTGTGCCCTGTCCCCAGAGGTGGAGTCTACAGAGACAGGCAGGACTCTTGAGTGCTGTGAGCTCCACTCCAGTTGGAGCTTCCCAGCGCTTGTTTATCTACTTAAGCCTCTTCAGCAAATGGCAGGCTTCCTCCCAGCCTTAAGGGGTTGCCTTGCTGGGAGATCCTAGACTGCTGTGCTAGCAATGAGGGAGGTCTGCAGTGGGGACCCTCCCCAGCCAGGTGTGATATAGTCTCCTCAGTGTGCCCGCTTACAAGATCCTTGGTAGAGCGCATTGGGGTGGGAGTTACCTAACATTCCAGGTGTTGTGTGTCTCAGTTCTTCTGGCTAGGAAAAGAGATCTGGGTTCACTCTAATTCAAATGCTATGTTTTATATAATCTAAGATTTCCTCTAGGTGTGTTACACGATTGTGTTGTGTTGAACTTACATTGAGACTCACATGCTGGTATCAGCGTGGGTCTTTTCTATTCACTCTTTGAACTATTCGTTTGGGGACACAGACTCTGTGTCTTTGAGTGTCCATTGGTTATGCAGTGGCTCAACGCCTGTAATTCCAGCACTTTGGAAGGCTGAGGAGGGCAGGATCATGAGGTCAGGAGTTCGAGACCAGCCTGGCCAATATGGCGAAATCCCATCTCTACTAAAAATACAAAAAAAATTAGCCAGGCCTGGTGGCGGGTGCCTATAATCCCAGCTACTCGGGAGACTGAGGCAGTAGAATTGCTTGAACCCGGGAGGTGGAGGCAAGTGAGCCAAGATCATGCCACTGCACTCCAGCTTGGTGACAGAGCGAGATCATCTCCAGGAAAAAAAAAAAAAAAAATAGTATCCATTATCTATACTGGAAAAATTGAAATTGGGATTTTGACATAAGTGTGGAAATGTGGATTGGGTCCATTTAGTTTACCTAAACAGATGATGAAATACTAATTGTTTTACGAAACATTCCCTAGTGCAGTTTTGCCTGTGTGTGTGTGACGGAACAGGAGAATGAGGGTGGAGCGTGGAGTGCGCTGTGGGCCTGTGGTGGGTGGGGCCAGCAGCACCTGCATGCCTGGCTCACGGAGTAGCCTTTGGGTGTTCTTTCCCCAGAGGAGCTCTACGTGACTTGAAGACTTGGAAACAGGGGATGTGCACAAGGGAAAATCAGGTCCCGATACTCAGGTATGACTTTGCTGTGGCTGGCTGTTCTGGTCATTGTGTTCTCTGAGAGAGGCCTTGATTGAGAAATGCAAATCTTACTTGTGATGTGAAGATTGCAGACTGATGGATAGATTCCTTCCTAAAGGGTGGGATATGGGACCAAAGAGAAGCTTTCTGTTTACTTGTTAAGTTTTGATAACAATTACTACTGCTTCTGCCATAGTCATTTGCTGTCCACTGTGATTTTTCACTACAGAAGTCTTAGTTTCTGACTTACATTCGACCATTGCCATCATTCCTCTCTCTTCTTTGAATTTAAGTGTGTCATTTGGGGTGAACGGGTCCCTGTTCTCCTAATACTTTGGAACAGGGTCTAGAGCATCATGAGGACACATCTGTTGGTTTTATTCTAGTTTGTGTTCCCAGCTAGCTAAGGAATGGCAGCTAATTGTAATGCAGATATAACCATTTCCTGTAGCAGCAATTTGCCATGTTATTCAGGAGACAAAGGTCGTGGTTATGTTTTGTTTATTGATAGTGATAAGAGATTTTGCTAAGATTTTTGTTTAACCGAACTTAAAAAAAAATCTAATGTTTAAAGAAAAGACTCTATAAACATACACAAATTTTTTCTTCTGGAAATTTAAGAACAATGATGTAGAGAAGAAGTTAAGAAGAAATTGACTCTAACGAAGAAGAAAGTACAAGAAAAAGCATTTGGATAAGAAGAGAAAATTGAAGGAGATGTTTGATGCAGAATATGATGAAGGAGAAAGCACATATTTTGATGATCTTAAAGGAGAAAATGCAGAAACAAGCAGGTGAGAAGCCTGAGTTCTCTCAGCCCCTTGTCAAGACTATCATAGCCCAGAATCCCCTGGATTTTGTTTGGGTCCCTGCTTCCTATCCTGCTTCTGTAGCTCTCTCTATTTGGACTCCTGGGTAGAGATGCATATGAGTGTGTTTATTCATGCAGTGAGCTCATTGTTTCTTGCAGTCAGAAGGTCACCAGAAAAAGATCCATACTTAGTTTTAAAATACAATTAGGAAACAGAAATGACTGAGTGCATGGTCTCTACTTTTGAGACTTTCACAATGTAGTGATCTAACATGGTAATATAACACAAATGCTACATTCATTTGAGTGCAAGGATTCACGTCTATTCGGATCATTGCTCCTGATTTGAATGGCAGGTGATCAGTGGCCCGTGTGGCTTACAGGGACACACCAGAGCTCCTGGTGAGGAGTGCTCTGAAAACTCATCCTGGTCAGAGTTTATACATGGGAGTGTAAGGCCTTGATGAAGATAGTTGAGATGGTGTGCCCTCCTGCCTGGGGGTGCTTAGCAGGTTGTTGGAGGCGGTGGATCTCACTTGAAGGAGACAGACAGAAACGTGTACAGTTGATGGGTGAGCATCTGGAGTTGCGCCTTTGTTAGTGAGGCCAGAGTGCCTGTGAAGCTGGAACAGATCAGGTCTTTACTTAGTCAAAGAACTATCTCCTGATTAGGCATTAGCTTCGTGGTTGCAAGTCTGTGTTGACTCTGATTGGCATGACTAGGCTAACTCAAAGTTTTGTTTACACCATTTACAATTTAAAATTACCTAGAGCCTTGTGAGCCATTGGAAAAGACTGAATGTTTCACTCTGAAATGGGAGTCCTTGGAGGGTTTTGGAGCAGAGGAGAGACATTACAGCACTGATCACTCTGCCAAAAGGTCAGGCAGGTGGCACAAACCAGAGAGCTGGCAGTGGAAATGAGACAAAGAGTCAAACCCGGATAGACTTTATTTAGAAGCTGGGCCAGTAGGATTTCCCGTGGACTGAATGTGGGGTGTAAGAGGAAATGAGGATGGTGACTAGAAGTTCTGGAAGATGGGTTGTTGTAAGTTAGACAGGAAACCCTCTGCAGATGCAGCTTTGGGAAGATGATGTTTGTTTCGGGTTGGGTGTCATGCAGACAAGTGGAGTTCGTGGTCTGAGAGAGGTCTGGCCAGGGACTTAGATGTACAGCCCTCAGCATGTAGGGATGCCACTTAACATTGTCAGGTGGCAGGGAGTGAGTGCAGAGTGAGTGGAGGAGCAAGACTGGCATGGGCGCAGATGGGGCGACTGGCCGTGAGGCCTGGAGCAGCCCAGGCAGGGAGGTGTGCCAATGAGCATGCAGGCACACTAGTGCTTTGTGCTGTACACGGAGGCGGCGTTGTTCAGACCCTGCTGCCAAGTGTTAACTATGGTGAAGGGGTAGAGTTGACCACCAAGAGTCTCAGTGTGGGGCCTTCACTGGTCTTGCAAGCACCAATTTTCATGGATGTAGGAGAATGAGTAGAGGAACTGACAACTGTGACTGCAGAAAATCCTTTTGTGGGGTTTTTGCTGCAGAGAGAGAAACAGAGAAATGGAGCAGTTGTTGGTGGAAAAGGGAATCAAAAGGTTTTGAGATAAGAGGAATACGAGAGGAACAGCTGTTGGAATAAAGTTTCAGGAAGAGGATGATGTCTAGTGAGCAAGTGATGTGTGGCCCTGAGTAGAAGCATGGACAAATCATCTGTTCCTGGAGCTGCCCGTAGAACTTTCTGTGATCATGGAGATGCAATGCCTTGCTTCCCAGTATTGTAACTCTGGCCACAGGTTGATATGGACCACTTCCCAGTGTGACTAGTAGCGATTGAGGAACTGCATTCAAATATTACCTAATTGTAATTAATTTTAATTGAAATAGCCACACACATAGCTTCCCTATGGGCCAGGTCAGAACTCTGATAAGGCTGGATATGGGAGGAAATCCTGGTAGAGGGTTGACCATGGAGGTTCTTTTGGTTTTGGAGTGAATCAGGAAACAGCCATCAGCTGAGTGGAGGTAAGTGTGGTGTTGGGTGTTTGAAGACGGGAAAAGTGTGGAAAGAATTGTTTGAGAGGAAGGAAAGAAGGTGTGACTGGAGACATTTCCAGTGTTCAGGCACGAGGGCTCCACAGAGCATGCCCACATTTGCTGTCCCTTGGAGCAGCAGAGGAAACGTTGGGACATATTCTTGAGCAGACTGCAGAGGTAAAATGTGCAGGTTTTTTTTTGTTTGTTTGTTCTTTTGCTTTTTGTTTTTGAGACGGAATCTCGCTCTATTGCCCAGGCTGAGTGCAGTGGCACGTACCGCAACTCACTGCAACCTCCGGGTCTCCCGGGTTCAAGCAGTTCTCCCCACCTCTGCCTCCCTGAGTAGCTGGGACTACAGGCACATACCACCACACCCAGCTAATTTTGGTATTTTTAGTAGAGACGGGTTTCACCATGTTGGAAGACTGGTTTCCTGATCTCATGTGATCCACCTGCCTCGGCCGCCAAGGAAGTGGGACTACAGGCATGAGCCTCTGTGCCTGGCCAAATGTGTAGTATTTTTAATAGGATAAAGCCTACATAATTCTGTCCAAGTTCCTTTATTTAGAAAATTGTTTTGTTCATGTTAATCTTATGTTTATTACAGATAACGGCATATGGTTTGTTTTTTTTTCTGTCATGTGTAGCTGAATCGCGTAGAATTGAAGATCACATGATGAAGCCAGAGTTCAGTAACATGAGGGTTTTCACCTGGGATGTACGTCTCATGAGATTAAAAATGTTCCTGGGGAATTTGTGCAGAACTTTGACCCCCATTACCCCATTATCCTGGGTGGCTTGGGCAACAGTGAGGGAATGCTGGATACGTGCAGGTGGGTCCCTTTGCTGCATATTTGTGCCTGAGGCTCTGTGGATTTCCTCCATCAATCATCTTACCTCTCGCCCCTCAGATGCGTCTGAAGAAACATCGCTGGTATAAGAAAATCCTCAAGTCCTCAGATCCAATCATTTTCTGTAGGGGTGGGAGAGGTTTCAGACCATCCACTCATTATATCGATGACCACAATGGAAGACAAGGTTTGAAAAGTGATACCCTACAGCATGCATTGCGGAGCAGCCTTTTGGGGTAAAATATGATTACAATAACTTGCCTATTGCCGAGATTAAACCTTACAGGCTGCATTATTATAGCTTTTGCTTTTCTCTTTCATAAACTCTTCACTCTTAAGATTTTTCTTTCTGGGAGCGGGAGGTGGTTTGGAGCATATATGTAACCCATATCCAAATCCAAATGTCCATATCCAGTATGTTAAACTAGAATCTAAAAATTTGTGGTTTGCTATTTCTTTTTTGCTTTTCTCCCTTTAAGGCCCTATCACTCCACAGGGAACTGGTTTCTTGGCAATACAGTCTGTCAGTGGCATAATGGTAACTATCTTGTATGATTTTTACAGGATTGGTTTGAGAACATATCCCGAATGTGGGTTATATACATGAGACTTTTAAGTTGAAAAATTACTCATTTTTGTTAATATAAAGTAAATTTCCTTTGCTTTTACTTACTCTTCCTACACATCCTTTTCAGTGGGTGTGGATTAAAGGAGGGAGGTGGGAAGAATTATAATGGTACATTTCCTATTTTGTGCATCTTGGATTTATTTATCTAAGCAAGTACTTAAGAAGTGCTCACTCATGTACCAAGCACTATATGAGGCTGTGAGGAGCCATCAGAGACCAGCCAAAGACACACGAGACTCCCTGCAGCCATGCTGGGGTAGCAGTCTGTTCACACCATTTTCATTTGACCAGTCAGGCAGGGCAGGTTTATCGTGTCCCATTTGTCAGAGAAGAAAGCAGAATAATGAGCAGATGGAATCTGCCCTGGAGGTTCAAACAACTGTATTTTCTTTTCCATTTCATTCCAAATAAATCATTATAGTGAAATAACATTCCTCTGAAATCACTCTCAGAAAGTATTCAAGTAGCTTCTTGCTTTTGTTTGTTTTGTTTTGTTTTGTTTTGTTTTTTGAGACAGAGTCTCAGTCTGTCATCCAGACTGGAGTGCAGTGGCACGATCTTGGCTCACTGCAACCTCTGCCTCCTGGGCTTAAGCGGTTCTCCTGCCTCTGCCTTCCCAAGTAGTTGATTACAGGTGTGCAGTTTTGGTGGCATGCCGAAGCTAATTTTGTGTTTTTAGTAGAGACAGGATTTTGCCATGTTGGCCAAACTGGTCTTGAACTTGACCAGGTGATCCGCCCACCTCAGCATCCCAAAGTGCTGGGATTACAGGTATGAGCCACAGGTGCCCGCCTCATGTCACCCTGTTAATATTTTGGCTTACCAACTTTGAAGGTTTTGGATTGCTTTTGTCACACCACTGCTGCTGTAAGTTCAGATGGTCTCTCTCGTTTTTCTTAGCTAATTGTAAGTAAAATTCACTTTGGTAATGTATTGTGTCACATAGAATTGAAGTTTTTCTTCTTGTGATATTATTCTATTTTCAAATTTTGGGGTTCCTGTTAGCCTGATTTTCGGATAGCTGCCACAGGAGTTGTCCTTGATCTGGATAAATCCATGTACCAGAAGAAATTGAAGCTAACTGGTTTAAGTATAAAATTTTCAAGAATACTTCATTTATTAAGGTCTGTATATCTATATATTCTCATATTTATAAATGTCCATATTGTTTGAGAAAGGAATGAAATAATTCTAAAATATGGGCCTCAGTGTTTAGAAAAGTATTTGAAATCTTTATAAACTTTACATTTTGTTTGGCTCCTTTATATTCTGTTACTTAATATACAAAAGAAAGCAGTAGTAAAACAGCTATTTAGAATTGAGGTTGTTATCATGACTTCCATGTGAGATCAAGCTACAGAAGTCATATTGGAAAATATGTCATTTTATCCACTGGGTTTTGCTTCTACTTTTTAATTCTAGTTAACAAAGGAAAAAAAAATCACAAGTTTGTCTAACCATTCAGCAGAAAAATCGACAAAGCATTTGCAGACAACTTGGCATGTACAGAGAAACAGATGTACTGTTTTTCATTTGGGGAGGGGTGGTTTGAGCAGCATTTATTGACAGTTTCATTAGTGTGATGTTTTGCTGAAAAACACAGTTAGAATACACTGGCAAATGTTCGTGCAATATAAGGTAATAATACCACCGGCGTTTATCTTACTGTTTTCATGTTCTAAGTGTATGCACCTATAAAGGTTCTGAGCTGTAGCCTGAGAGACGCCAGCAAAGGCTACCAGCTAATTCATCCAAACCTCTGGATCTTCTCTTCCACAGACAGTGTGTGATGAGCATGCCCATGAACCCACATGATTATTTTGGGGGAAACAAAGGCTGTATTTTGAGGTAGTAATTCCACTTTCAGGGACAAATACATTTTGATTATTGTATCACCCTTCAGTGAGTTGTTTTTGTCCTTTAACCAAGTATGTATCTTTGAAGTAAGAAGTAAAGCATAAAGTATACGATTTTGTGTGTTTGTGTTTTTATCTTACTATACCTATAGGGAATGTTTAATTTGCCTTGAAGTAGCCAAATTTGAAGGTGCTGTGGATTCGAACTGTCAGTGGGATAAGGGGGCAGATCACAGCACCCGAGCTCCAGAAGGCGCTTCCTCGGGCCAGCCTTTGAGGAGAACTGCCAGACAGCAGGTGGGGCACAAAGGGTTTTTTTGTGAGGTCTTGAGTAGTGTTCAGGCAGGGTGTTACCATTCATGCTTGACTCTAGCTAGTGTGATGAGAGGTTGAGTCAGGTCTGTAGAGGCTGGAGTCAGGTCTCTAGAGAGTTGAGCGGCCCAGCCTTAGATTCGTAGTAAGCGCTGATGTGCCCATTCACCTTGTGTCTGCAGTCTCCGGCCACACCTATAACAGTTCTGTGATCTAAGAGAATAGTTTCTTAGCGAGCTTTCCTCAAATACTATAACAGGCAGATAGTTTGGAGGTTTTTTTCTTTGTTTCTTCGCACATGGATAATCTTCTTTGAAATGTTAAAATAACTACTCTTTTCAGATATTGTCTTCATGCGAACTTGCATCCTGTTTCATCCCAGCCTCTCTATAACCCAGTAACATCTTTGTTGAAACCAGTGGGTGAGAAAGACACCTGTCAGAATGCGGACTATATTAACCTAGGTTTCGCCATGAAGGCCAGACTAAAGGCAAACAAGGACTTCTGTATAAGGTACTGGTTGCGTGTAAAATAGTGGAGATGAAGCCATGCTGTCCAGACAGGGAGTAACATGATACTTTTCTATAATTTCTACATGCTTGAATGTTCAAGTGTAAAGTCTGAATGTTAAATTTGATTGAACAACTGTATATTCAAGTGGAATATTTAATGAAACAATTGCAAAATGGGTAATAGTGGTTCTTTCTTGGATTGAAGACAACTTATCTTTTTAAAATAAATTTTATTTTATTTATATGCATTTGAGGTTGAACACATGATCTTAAAGGATACATATAGATATTAACTGGTTACTGTAGTGAAGCAAATTATCATCTACCATCTCACATAGTTTTTTTGTGTGTGACAAGAACAGCTAAAATCTACTGATTTAACAAACCCAAAGACAATATATTTTATTAACTATAGCCTTCATGATGTATACTAGATCTCTAACTTGTTCATCCTGTATGTGTGCTACTTTGTATTATTTTAATGTACGCTTCCCCATTTCCTATTGGTCATTTCCTATTTGGCCCATTCTTCAACTGGGTTGTTTTTCTGCTATTATAAGAGTCTTTAATACTTCTGATATTAACACTTCATCAGATATGCTTGTAAATATTTCTTCCAGTCTGTAGGTTCTCTTCATTTCGTTGGTTGTTTCCTTTGCTGTGCAGAAGCTTTTTAGTTTCATGCAGTCCTCCTTGTTTATGTTTACATTTGTAGCCTGGCTTGTGGTGCATATGCAAAAATTAATACAAAGCCAATGTCAAGAGGCTTTTCCCCGTGGCTTTCTTTCTAGGAGTTTTATGTTTCAGGTCTTATTTGGGTTCTAGGTCTCATATCTGTTTTGAGTTGATTTTTGTGTATATTTATGATCAGGTCCAATTTATTCTTTGCAAGTGGAATCCAGTTTTCAGCACTATTGAAGAGACTATCTTTTCCATCGTGGTTGTCTTGTTTCTGTCAAAAAAATTATTGATGGTATATGTTTGGATTTATTTCAAAGGTCTCTGTTCTGTTCCATTGGTCTAATTCTTTTGTTTTTATGCCAGCACCATACTGTTTTGATTACTATAGCTTTGTAACAATCTTTTTTAAATCAAGAGGTGTGATGCTCCAACTTCTTCTCTCTTTCACAGTAATCTGTTGGCCATTTGTGTTTTTGGGTTCCATATGAGTTTCAGGATTGTTTTTTCTTTTCTTTCTTTTTTTTTTTTTTTGAGACAGAGTTTCACTCTGTCACCCAAGCTGGAGTTTGCGGCACACCCTTGGCTCACTGCAACCTCTGCTTCCTGATTCAAGCAATTTCCTGCCTCAGTCTCCTACGTAGTTGGGACTACAGGCACATGCCACTATGCCTGACCAGTTTTTGTAGGTTTAGTAGAGATAGAGTTTCACTGTGTTGGCCAGACTGGTCTCCAACTCCTGACCTTGTGATCAGCTCCGCCGCGGTCTCCCAAAGTGCTAGGATTATAGGCGTGAGTCACTGCACCTGGATTGTTTTTTCTGTTCTGTAAAAGAATGCCATCAGAACTTTGATGAGGAGGTAAGTAAATTCATAGTATATTTGCTTTGGGGTAGTGTGAATACTTAACAATATTAATTCTTCTGATCCATAAAACATCAGAACTTTGATGAGGATTGTGTTAAACTTGTATATTTGTTAGGTAGTGTGTAAATATTTAACAATATTAATTCTGGATCCATAAACACAATATTAATTCTTCCATTTAAGACCTATGCTCAAATTTCTCACTCAGTGTTTTGGTGCTCTCAAGTGTACATCTCTCACCTCTGGTTATTAAATTTATTCTAAGTTTGTATTTTTCGATGGCTAGAAATGAGATTATTTTCGATTTCTTGTCAGCTAGGTTATTTGTATATAGAAATGTGACTGATTTTATATGTTGAGTTTATACCTTGCAGCTAACTGAATTGATTTAGTAGTTCTCACAGTTTTGTGAATCTTTTGAGTTTTTTACATATAGATCTTGTCATCTGCAAAATAGAGATAGTTTTACTTTAATTTAGTTACTTTTTCTCGCTTCAATTGTTTGCAAGTACTCTGCTGAATAAAGGCATGAGGCTGGGCATCCCTATCTTGTACTCAATCTTAGTGGAAAAGCTTTTAGTTGTTGCCCACTAACTATGATGTAGACTGGGCTTTCATAAAATGGTCTTATTACATTGAGGAACTTTTCTTCTACACACAAACTATTAAGAGGTTTTATCACAGCGTTGCTAAACTTTGTTTGCTTTTTCTGCATCAATCGAGGTGACTCAAGTGTGGTTTTTTCATTTATAATGTGATATATCACATAGATTGATTTACGATGTTAAACCAGCCTTGCATGCCAGGACAACTTCACTTAAATATGATATATAATGTTTTTGATGTGTTGTTGAATTCTATTTGCTAAAATTTTTTTAGGATGTTTGCATCAGTGTTTAATTTTTTGGAGAGCCTGACCTTGCAGTTTGTTTGTTTGTTTTGTATGTGTGTTTGTATGTGTGTGTGTGTGTTTTGGTTTGCCTAGGTATTAAGGTAATACTGGTCTTGCAAAATGTGTTTGGAATTATTTTCTCTTGCTCTATTTTTGCCAAGAGTTTAAGAAGTAAAATTCCATGGATAGGAGTGGCTCTGGACATGGGAGTGACAGTGACTTGAACCCTGTAGTGGTGGGACACAGCAGCATCCCAGTCTCTGTGAGGCCGGTGGCGTGAAAGCATCAGCAAGGACCCCAGAATGGTGGAGCACCACTGTGGCTTGGGCCGGGGCAGGACCAGTGGCACCATTCTCTCCCTGGGGAGGCAGGTGCCTGGGCAACTCAGATTTTCCAAGGCCAGGGGTCCAGTTCCAAGGAAGCAGAGTTCTACAGTTGCTGTCCTGAAGGGGCAAAGGTACCCCAGTTCAGCCAATGCCATTTTCCTGGGATGGGGTGGGCGCTATGTTGGCTCATCCGTGGCAGGTGTGGCTGCTCAGGTCAGCTAAGACACTGATTCCCTGTGAAGCTAGGCAGTGTCATCTCAGGCAGGTGAGGTGTGACTGCTCAGAGTGGCCAAGGCACCGATTCCCTGGAAAGCAGGGCACCAAGTCAGCTCAGGCCCTAAGGGGCAGGGCGCAATGACATTGGGAGGGGGAGGCACAGCAGCTGCAGTCACAGGGCAGGGTGTATGCTGTGATGTGGATTTGCTTGTTCCCACCAGCACTCATGTTGAAATTTGATTCCAAATGTGGTGGTGTGTGAGGTGGGGTCAGTGGAGGGTATTTGGCCACTGGGGGCAGATCCTTAAATGAACAGATTAATGCTCTTTTCATGGGACTGGATTATTACCAGGAGGATTATCAGAGCAGTTCAACTTCCTAGACTCTCTCGTGTTTCCTCTTGCCATGTGAGCCTCTTGCATACACCTGTTTCCCCTTCCACTTTCCCCATGAGATGAAGCAGCACAAGACCCTCACCAGATGTGCTGCCTGCCCTATCTCAGACTTTTCAGACACAAGCAGGGTGAGAGCCAAATAAACCTTTTTATAAAAGTCACAAGTTAATGAATTTCCCCAGGTATTTCTGTTACAGCCATACTAAATGGCCTAAGACAGTGTAACAGCAGCTCAGAGGTGGTGGGCACACTAGGTGGGGTGAGTAATAGAGCAACAAACTGAGGATGGTAGGTGGGGTGCGGTGACTGCTCACCCTGGGCGGGACATGCTCCCGGCGGCCTTGGGGTCCAGGAGGTCAGCACAGCAGCAGCTGGTCCATGGGGGTGGGGCTGCAACATCAGTTCCTTCTCTGAGGGGAGCACAGCTGCTGGGCTTCTTGTTTTATTACTTCCTGCAGGAGACATCCCCTCTGCTTCCAGTCTGATCTCCTCTGGGATGGGTGTGGGGGAGATGTTTCTCTCCTTTATGTGACTGTTCTGGTTTTCTGTGCTCTACCGGATTTCTGCTACTCCTTGATGCACTCTGGGCTCTCCTTTAGTGACTTTCAACAAATACAGTTGTTTGCTGTTTTGGTTGTTCTTGAGCCAGAGGACAGACGCATGGGGCTGGGCTGATTGGCCCCTTGCCAGTGTCCTCCTCTTAAACTTTTCACTGGGTACTCTTTTGAACTATTTTTCCCACCATATACATGTATTTTAAACATTAATGTGCTAATTTCATTAGCAATGTAGGATTTTTCTGAAAGTTTAATGTTTTAATAAGCTTTTTTTATTGAAATGTTAATGTACATACATAAGAATGTCTTTCCAAAATCGCAGGTGTGCAGCTAGGATGAACTGTAGCACACCAGGCTGCCACACCCTGACCAAGCAGGCCTCGCCTCTGGCCTCTCCCAGGCACTGCCACCCCAACCCACAAAATAGCTACTTTCCCAGCCCTGACGAGATTTGTTCTGCCTGGTTTTGACTTTTATAAAATACAACACATTCTATTTAGCCTGACTTCTTTGGTTCAGTATTACAGGACACATCCATGTTCTTGTCTATGGCAGACATTGATTTATTGTCATTGCTGAGTTCCATTATATGACTGTATCACCATTTATCCAGCTGATGGGTAAAATGATTTCGTTTTGGACAAGTATCCCACAGCCCTTAACACTAACGCCTGGATATGGGACTTATGTATGCAGGGCACACACACTCTGCTGGAGGATCCTGGGTGGGGTGGGAGACTCCAGGGCACCTGTGCCTGCTTCAGTAGGAGGCTTCGTGTCATGTTCTGGGAGCACAGTGGTTTGGCTCTCACTCAACAGCACAGCTTAAAGAGTTCTTCATTCCACATATGCTTGCCGACAATTGGCCTCTTCATTTTTGTTTGTTTGTTTTTTAAGGTTTTCAGTGCCTGCCTGACTTGTGTTTACTTAGATTTTGGTTTCTTAGAACTTTGTTATCTCTTTCAGCTTAACAATGCATTTGAAAAGATTTGTTTTCATGTGGAGTATTCAGTTTTGTAATAAGAGGGTTGTCTGGCTGCATCAGTCTACCTCTGCTAGAAACAGAAGTCTCCCAGGCATTTCTTTTTATATAAAGAAGTAATGAAATTTTGAACCGTCTTACATGAATTTTTATTAAAATACACTTCAGGATGTGGTGCCCATTATCCATTCTACTCTTTGTAAGAAGCAGACTTTCTGAATTCTGAATTCTGAAACAGTTGGGGTTCCTAAACAGAGAATATGAATATTATTGGGATGATGTCTTTAATAATACATTTCAAGATAGCAGAAACTTGTTCCATATAGATGACTTAATAAAAGCCTAGGCAAACTTTCAATTTATTAACAGTATTTATGAGGCAGTTAAGAATCTGGCCATCTCCATCTCCACTAAAAATACAAAAAGTTAGCCAGGCGGGTGGTGGGCACCTGTAGTCCCAGCTTCTGGGAGGCTGAGGCAGGAGAATTGGTGAACCCAGGAGGTGGAGGTTGCAGTAAGCCGCATCGTGCTCTTGCACTCTATCCTGGGCACAGAGCGAGACTCTGTCTCAAAAAAAAAAAAGAAAGAAAAGAATTTGGGCTGTCTCAATTAAACATAGAATTTAAGATTACCTTGAAAATTCAGTACAGAGTATTTTGCCTTCAAAATTGTTTTTTTGAGTCTCCCTTCTTTCAGCCAGCCTTCCATCAGAAATAGAATAAAGTTAACTTTAATAGGAATCAGGAATCAGGACTTCTTGGCTGCTGATTGAAGGAAGAACTATCCTTAAATCCACAGTGGCTGTGTACGGTGGCTCATGCCTATAATCCTAGCACTTTGGGAGGCCAAGGCAGGTGGATCACCTGAGGTCAGGAGTTCAAGACCAGCATGACCAACATGGTGAACCCCATCTCTACTGAAAATACAAAAATTAGCTGGGTGTGGTGGTGTGCGCCTGTAGTCCCAGATACTTGGGAGGCTGAGACAGGAGAATTGCTTGAACCCAGGAGGTGGAGGCTATGCGCGGAGCTGCATCTTGCCACTGCACTCTAGCCTGGGCAACAGGGCGAGACTCCATCTCAAAAAAAAAAAAAGGTAAATCCAGAGTGGTTGATAGTCAAGATGAAAAGCTAGATTATTTTTGTTAGGCTGGGAAATAAGCACCTCAGTGGCCCAAAAATAAGGCCTGAAATTTCCATTAAAAGAAACTGGGATCTATTCATCTGTTCTGTTGAGATCCCATAGTTCCATACCATAGAAATGGGCACAGAGGGTTTTGGGGGAGAGTTAAAGTGTAAGCCTCTCTGTTCCTCTGTATACTGAGAATTGTGGGTGTCCACTGACGCAGTTCATATTTGGCGGATGATTAAGCCCTGATTTCTCAGGGCTGTAGTGGACTCTGGTGTTACTGATCTTTAACCCAATGAGAAGATTGTATGCAGAAGTTTTAAATGCACATTGATCATAATTTGAATATGTCACAGTCTTTATTTTTCTTTTCAGCCAATCCTGAGCAAAAGAAACATTTTAATTCACTGCACATTCCAAAAAGCTTTGCAGAAGGCCCTGCCATTTAAGAACAAGCCCAAGACCCAAGCAAAGGCAGGCAAGGTGCCAAAGGACAGGCGGAGACCGGCCGTCATACGGAGCCTCATGAAAGAAAGGTACTGTCGCCTCATGCCGTACTGCATGCATTTAGATAGGAAAGCACGCTCTCCGCAGCACACTTCCTGTTTCTTTACTGCAGTCTCAGTTATTCAGGGCACTGAACTAGAAACAGAGGAAGAGCCAGAGTCTGTTTTCCTTCCTTGCCTGGTCCTGCTCTGCCCTGTGCTTTTGATGGGGATAACAGGCATGGCTGGGAACTCTGTCTTGGTTTGTTGCACAGTGTCCACAGAATGATGAACACAGGTGGTAAAGGTAAAATGCGATCACACCTGTGTCTCCATGCCAACAATGACTTCAGCGCAGGGATGCATTTTCATGCAGCAGACCATCATCAGGGTTGCCTCTATAGTCTTAGTGCTTAGGATGCAGTGTGTCAGGTGGCTGAGAGCATTCTGATACTGCCACTGGCTTTGTCGCTATGATCCTCGCGCTTGCTGGATGCTCTGGAGTACGGTGCACAGCCGGAAGATGAAGAAGGCCAAGGAGCAGCGGCACCTGCACAATAAGGAGCACTTCAGAGCCAAGCAGAAGGAGGAGGAGGAGTAGTTGAAGTGCAGAAGGACCTCAGGAAGAAGCCTAATCAGGGGCAGAAGGAAAGAAGAAACCAGAAGTCCAGTTTGAAGGGGGCTGAGGGCCAGTTGCAGTAAGCCTTTGGACTGAGGACTGTCCGGATCTGCGGAGGTGGACAGGCTGCAAAACATCACAGTTTGAATGCCTGTGAATGATGTCAGTGGCAAGAGCCCAAGAGATGTCTCTTCACCAAACTGTGCCTGTGAGGAGGAATGAGAAGCCTGACTGCTGACTGGGTTCGTTGTTTTCACCACCTGGGGCTGCTCTTAGATTTAAAGTGACGTAAGCCGTATGTGGATCTTCTTACTTTCCTCTGCCTGCCTCAGTTTAATTATTTTGTCCTACAAAATACTTCACGGCAAATATTTTTGTTAGTTTTGGCTTAGTAAGCCATTAGGATGAATGCCTGACAACTTTGTGATAATTATTTATGCTACCACCTTCGTGGAGGAGTCTTCCAAAAATAGAAACATTCACTTGAATCCTCAGCTCTATGGAAAATAGAGAAGGGTGTGTAGTGTTTTTTAATAGGTTTTTTAGTTTGAGTGACACGCAACCTAGATGGTACAAATCCTACTGTGCACCTGGGCCTATGGCTCCTTTGATCACTGGCCCTTGTGGACATTTTCATCTTATTTGCGTTCTGTACATTAGTATAGTGACAAGGTAACAGGTACCTTTTAAAGCTTTAGACTTAGGAGATTGTTGTCTCAGGTGCAGAGACTAAGGAAATTACATGTACTCAGTGAGATAGGCTTCCCGTATTATGCCTGTATGCTATACCTGCCTAGCTACATTGCCTTTTTTAAAATTAAACATTATATTGATATAATCATACTATTACTTAGGTTATGTATGTATTTTATGATTGTGGCTGTTGGATATAGTTATGGGGAATTTAATCTATATGATGTAATCATAGATTCACATAGTTGTATATTTTGCTCAATTTCTTCTCAGTGATAACAAGCTTTCACACATATCACAATCAGGATGTTGACATCAAAACAGCCACTGATTTTATTCACATTTCTCAGCTTTACTTTTCTCAATGTATACTCCTCCATATGTGCATGTGTGGTGAAATATGGGAACGAGCTGGGCACACAGTGACCACGCCAGTAATCTCAGCACTTTGGGATGCTAAGGCAGGAGGGCATTTGAGCCCAGGAATTTGGAGAATTACTTGGGCAACATGGCAAAACCTCATCTCTACAAAAATACAAAATCGCCAGGTGTGGTGGGTACACCTGTGGTTCCAGGAGCTGGGAGGCTGAGGCAGGAGGATCACTTGAGCTCGGGAGGTCAAGGCCGGGTGAGCCATGATAGCACCACTGCACTCCAGCCTGAGTGACAGAGCAAGACCCTGTTTCAAAAAAAAAAAAAAAAAAAAATTTATATATATGTAGAACACTTCATGAATTTGTGTGTCATTCAGTATGCTGACTCTGTGTTGTGCTGTTGTAGTATAAAAGGTTGGACATGAGTACCGCATTGCCTTTGCTAACATCACAGGGGCCAAAGAGGGTCAGCAGGATTGTGAGCAGTTGGCCTAGTCTGAGAGGCTGTCTAAAAGCCAAAAGCTGTCAATAGACAGGTGCTCAGCTTTGTGTCTCCATAAGAAGGGAAGGGGATGTGAGGATCCCATCAGGGCTGGGTCCATCTGGGAAGTGACTGTTGAACACACTCCAGACCAGACCTTTCTGAGCAAATTGCAAAATTTTCCTCTATTCCTCAAGAGCTAGCTAGGAATTCCCATTATTCAGTATGCTGATAGGCCTGGGGACTGACACATAGTAAGCCCATAACAATTATAATTTAAAACCAATTTGTTATATAGCATAATTGATACATTTTAAAAATGCAAACTGTAATTCAACTAAAATATACAAGGCACTCTAAGTCATACCATGTTTTTACATTTAAGTAGCTTTACAGTGTGATCAGCAAGTGTCTCATACAATAAGCAAATTTGTTCAAAGAGAAGCCTTGCAACAAGTATTTATAATTGTATAGTTTTATATTTCAGCCAAAAGAGGGAAATCCTTTAGCAAATGGGGGAAATAAAAGAATGTTTAACATAGTTGTAAGATAATTGCCTTTTCCAAAGACAATGTATGTAGGCAGAAGTCATACTTGATAATATTAAAATCTTGGTTTGTCATATTTGAGAACAAGGAAATAAAAGTTTGTATCAAGATTATTTAAAACTAAAGTACAGGAATCTCTAATGTCTGAAAGAAACAATAAATAGCATTTTCCATGTAGAGTTTTTATTGGTGAAGGTGTTCCCTGGGCCAGGTTAGTAAACACCAGTTTGCCAGTCATGTATCAGCATGATGGGGATATATTCTGAGAAATGTATCATCAGGCAATTCTGTTATTGTGTAAACATCATAGAGCAAACCTAGATGGTACAGCCTACTGTGCACCTGGGCTCTATGTTATGGTCTGTTGCTCCTAGCCTACAAACCTGGACAGCATGTGACTGTACTGACTACTGTGGGCATGTAACACAGCAGCAAACATTTATGTATCGAAACACAGAAAAGGCGAGCAAAAATACAGTCTTGTGGAACCACCACCATATGTGGTCCGGCCCTGACTGAACATCATGCAGCATGTGGCTGTATGTATACGCATAGTTTTTGCTGTGAGTTTGCATCCATCTCATAGGAAGACATATATCAAAATAAGGACCAGACTGGAGAGTGTAAATTATTTTTCAATACTAATGGTTTATTCATTTGATATTGTCACCAAGCATGTTGCAAAAAATAAATTCCACCAGAATGTGAGTCCCATGAGAACAGGAACTGGGTTGTTCACCTTGCTGTACTCTGGAGAGCCACTGAACTTAACACTGCATAAAATTGCTTGGAAGAAAGAAGGGAGGGCATTCCAGGTAACTGAAGCATTATGTGCAAGATTTGGTTCTCTAAAATATTTTAATAATTTTTATAGAACCTTTCTCAATTGCATTAAACTTTGTAAATTGTAAAAATTATGCTTTTTTATATCTTTCATCTTTTTACTGTGCACAAGCAGCCACAGGTGCTGTGTATGTTTTGAAACGCTGAATCTATAGTGCATATCATTCATGCCATTAAATATTCTTATTTAATCATAGATGTGTTCAGGTGTGTTTGGTTTCCTATTCATGGATGTACTAGGATTGTTTTTTTTTAACAAAACCTGTGAACTTGCTTTAAGTATTATCATTTGGTGACATGTCTACCACTTTCAGAAATAAATGAGCAAAGAGGAAAGCACCAGGTCTGATTCAGCTTCTCTTGAGGCTTCAGAGCTTACTCCCTCGCTGACGGAAAAGAGCACGGTTTAATTGCCCTTGGTAGTGACTTCTATTATCTAATATTTTGCCAGACTCAATATATTTCTTAAAGTCATTATTCAGAATCTTCAGCAAGGAGATTGTATTTTGTTTGTTTCTCCTTTGTTTTACCTAGTTTATTTCATGGTTTCAAAGTATTGTATATTTTTGTAATCCTTTAACAAGACAAAAGGTTGAGATGTTGACATTTAAATGCACAAAGGTGTTTTATTATGAGACTAGTATCTCATATTTGGGGATGGTAATTTTATTATTGAAAATCAGATAAACTTTAGTTGAGTGGGTATTTGAGTGAATCTTTAAATCTTCTCTTGCCAAAAGTTTGACATTCTAAAAACAAAGTTGCCAACTGGCATGTAGAGAGGGAAGGATGTGTCATACATTTAGACAGGTGGCCTGTCCTGTAACTTTTTTCGGGGAGGGTGGGCTTTGATTTTTGTGTGTTTTGTTTTTTTCCAATTTTTGTTTTGTGATAAAGTATGCATAATAAAACTTATCATTTTAATAGTTTTTAGTTGTATGAGTCAGTGGCATTAATTACTTCACAGTTGTTGCAGCCATCTTCACAGCCTTCCATCATCCCAAACTGAAACTTTGTACCTATTAAACAATATCTCCTCCTTCCCTTCTTCCCCAGCCCCTGCAACCACTCATTCTGTCTCTGGAGTGACTACTTCTAGATACTTTTGCAAATAGAATCAATATTTGTCTTTTTGTGCCTTGTCATTTTATTTTAGCATACTGTCTCTTCAAGGTGTGTCCAGTTACAGCATGTGTCAGAATTTCCTTCCTTTTTAAGGCTGAATAATATTCCCAGTGAATGTCTTTACTAGATGTTGCTTATCCATTCATCTGATGGACGTTTGGGCTGTTGGGAATAATGTTAGTTGTGAACATTGGTGTGTAAATATCTGTGAATCTCTGCTTTCAGTGCTGTGTGTAAAAGTGGAATCTGTTAGGACAATGTCATTCTGTGTTTAATTGTGTGAGGAACTGCCACACTGTACCCACAGCTGCTGCACATCTTACATTCCTTCAGTGTGCTGTACAAGGGTTTCAATTTCTCCACAGCCTGAACCACCCTCATTATTCTGTTTTTTTCTTGGTTGCTTGGTTGATTGGTTTCTTAAAAACTGGGTAGTCTACATCCTAGTGTGAAGTTACATCTCGCTAGGATCTGCATGTTGGTAATGACTAGTGACGCTGAGCATCTTCTGTGTGCTGCCATTATCTATAGACTCTCTTTTGAGAAATGCCTATTCAAGTCCTTTGAACCAGGTTTTTTGTTGTTGTTGAATTGTAGAAGTTATTTTTATATTCTGGATATTAAACCCTTATCAGATAAACCACAAACATTTTCTCATTCTTTAAAAGGTTCTTCACTTGCTAGTGTCCTTTGATATAAAAGGTTTTTTAATTTTGATGAAGTCCAATTTATTTTTTCTTTTGTTGCCTGTGCTTTTAGTGTCATAGCCAAGAAATTACTACCTTATTGTTTAGTTTTTTAAAAGCATTTATACATTATTTGGTTGATACCTGTCTCTAATGATTGACGGCACTTCTTGAGGGTGACTTTTAAACATGCAAATTTGATGTCACTTTCAGAGGCTCCTTCCATGGCTTTACTTAGGCTTGCAGCCCTTGTCTGGCCTCGCTGCTGCTCTGCCCCCAGTCTCCTCTAGGCCTCTCTCTGTTGCCTCCAGCTCTGGCCACAGTGGCCTTTCATCCT